CTGTAAAGCTCAATACTGTTGATTTTAAATTAGAATCTTTGTCGTGATAATGCCCAGTTAAACACATAAACGAATTCATTCGTCGATCTGACCAAAAGTCAGTCGTTATTGAGATATATTCAACTTGCTGCATCTCTTCTTTCAACTCAACGGGTTAGATACACCATCTGAAAATCCGATCTTGAAAACTCCCCATATATCGAAAGCTGCAGTAAACATTTCTCAACAAAATGGTGAATGGCCGTAACTTTCTGTCACTTTTCATTCTCGATTTGTTCAAGAAACAACCGATGTCATTCTATTTTGAAATGGATAGTAGTGTCTATCTGTTTAGGCTATAAACCTACTCATCGGACTGTCGTGCAACGTAACCTTCGTGGAATGTATGTGTATTATAATAAATTTTTATAAGATAGATACAGTATAAGAATGATGTATACGTACTATTCTAACGATTTTTAACGTCCAAGGCTAAATTTCGTTTTAGCGTTGGTATTTTTAATTTTTCAGTATCGACATAAGAGGACAAAACTGATGATCGTTTTATTATTTTGATTACAGTTCGACATTTTTCCATTATTTCTGTTATTATTAATTGATCAATTGCTGCATTCTCTGATTCATTATCAATTACACCCGAACTCCAACTATCAATATTAACGTTTTCATGGCGGAAATAATAGAATATTATTACGTTGATTTACGTATACAAAACGTCCTAGTGCCTTATTGCTTATTTTTTGAAAGATGGGTACCTACTTATCTTCGTCTTCAATATTTAACTCTGAATTCTCTTGGTCCTCGTCCTCCGAATTATTTTCAACATCTGACTCAATAAGATTATCAATATTAACTGCCTCTCCATCTTCTACTAATGCTTCATTACTATGTACAATACACTGAACTCGTTTAATTTCCGGGCGAAGAGTGGAAAACATTTTAACCATATTTGCAGCTCCATCACATGTAATCGATGTTACTTTTTCATAGATTCCCAGTTCGATTAATTTTTGTTTAAT